TAAGCCCTAAACCCTAAACCCTCAACCCTATACCCTAAACCCTATACCCTAAACCCTAAACCCTAAACCCTCAACCCTATACCCTAAACCCTATACCCTAAACCCTAAACCTTAAACCCTCAACCCTATACCCTAAACCCTATACCCTAAACCCTAAACCCTAAACCCTGAACCTGGGGGCTTCAAACTAAGAGTCCGAACCCCAAACACAGGGCATCCTCAAACCCTAAACTTGGAGAAACCGCTTATCCTGCGAAGAGGCATCAAGTTCCTTGTTCGTGGAGAACGGAAGAATAAATTTCAGGGCTTCGTCAAACCCTAAACCCGAAACCCTAAACTCTACTGTGTGGGGAGCCCAAAGACCATGCCCAAAACAACAAAAACTAAACCCCAAACCTAAAACAAAACCCTAAAACCAAGAACACTAAACTCTAAACCGTCTCATGAATGCCCAGGTGCAGAGTATAAAGCGAGGCCCTGCAAGTGCATGGCTAAAAACGGGTTCAGGGTTGACGTTTCCAAGGCCTGGGGTGTAAGGGTCTTAGGGTCTTACGGTTTAGGGTTTAGGGTCTTAGGGCTTAGGGCGTATTGGGAAACAGTCGGACTTTGGATTTAGGGGCACCCTTGGGGATATAGGCCCTCTCAACAAGGTCCCCTTTAAGAGAGCTAAAAGTAGGGCTAAGAAGGGTTTCCTCTAGGGGGTCTCCCTAATATTGCCTAGGACACAGTGAATTCGGTGGAATTGAGAATGTCAGGCTGCGGGTCGAAGTTGTGGGCTCTGTTCTTCTGCTCCTCCTGCTAGCCTTGCTGCGACTGCTACTGCGACTGCTACTGCGACTGCTACTGCGACGACGACGACGACGACTACTACTACTACTACGACAACGACGACGATGACGACGACAGCTAAAATTGTAGCGGCGACGATAGCAAGGGTCACTCTTGCAATACGACAATATCTGCGACAGAAGTCCAGGAATCATATCTTGTTCTGTATGTCATGTAGTCGGGCAGCAGTAACAGTGGTACCAAATCAGCCTCAATGCTGCCCAGGGCCTTCAAAACAAACTCAGCGGTATACTTCAAGCCTGTGAAGACCTGTGGCTCCATCCCATGCTGATGCAATCTGTTGGACTCAAAACACCGCAGCACAAAAAATTTGCAGCTGCTCCGGTTCTTGTGAATTTTCAGGACGCCCAAATTTTCAAGTCTCCAGCGTTTACTTCACAATGCCTCCAGCCCCGCACCGCCGTTGGGCGGGTAAAGCGGTGGGCACCGGCCGCCGCCAGCCAGCTCAGGACGAAGGTGACGCCGCTGCGCCCAAACCACGCGGCACACTGCGTCAGGATGAGGGCCTGCTCTTTCATTGGCACGCTTGTGTCGTTCTCTTAAATTACGGTCCCTGGTACTTGTTTAGCAAATGTAGCACGGCAAGGACCCTAAAAGGGACCCTCGTTTAGAGATCAAGTCTCCAGAGCTTGGCTCCATGGTTAACCGAGACGACAGGAGGGACGAATGGGAGCAAGATCAAGAGCATCAAACTAGAGCGAGCCTTTCTTAAGGCGGGACGATCTTAGCATGGAAGCAAGCAGGTGACGTAGAAACAGACCAAAGCATTATTCCTTTGATGCTGTTTGGTTCATCGTTTTGGACCTGCTCGTATTCAGTATCCCACTTTGTGGTACAATGTCGTCTTTACATCTCTGATTTCTCAAGCATGTGAAGCATGTTCTACTTTCCGATCCTCACGCGAAGAAGGTACGGATGGTGCTCGGATTGTCAGTCTCACCGTTGCTGGAGTTGTCTTCTCTCCGCACCCAAATCATGAGCTATCCCCCAATCAATCCCCATTCAGCCCTACGAGCCCCCTGCAAAGCATGATCAGCCCGACAAAAAGCCCATGCAACGCGTGCGAAGCCCTTGCGGAAGATGAAAAAACTGATAACAGAACACCTTAAGACCCTCAACCCTAAGCCCTAAATACCTCTTCTACCTCTTCAACCTCCAAAGCCCGTGCGCGCACGATCAAAACCCTGTGAAACCCTGCGGATCTCCACCAAGCCCCATCAGAACCAGGACCCTAAACCCTAAACCCTAAACCCTAAACTCCCTAAACCCTAAGTCTTAAACCCTAAACCCTGAATCTTAAACCCTAAACCCTAAATCTTAAAGCCTAAAACCCGAAGCCAAAAGCCTAAGCCTTAAAGCCCTCAAGCCCAGACCCCAAGGAAGCCCTAAAACCCCATAACCTGAATCCACGCTAGACAGTATACTATTCGGACAATATATGAAGAATATCTGTCTATATATATATATGTGTGTATATATATATGTATGTAAATATACATATGTATATATATATATATACATACATACATATGTACAAACAAATTTTAAAAAGAAAAGCACGAAGCCCCGGCGGGCCTGGCCAGCAAGGTCGTAGGCCGGGCTGGCGATGGAGCCGATCGGAAGGAAGAAGAAGGAGAGAATCCACCTCTTAGGGCGGTTTCAGGGTTTAGGGTTGTTTGGGGGGTTTAGGGCGTTTCAGGGTTTAGGGGTTTAGGGTTTTTTGGGGGGCTTAGGGCATTTCAGGGTTTAGGCGCTTAGGGTTTTAGGGTTTAGGGCTTAGGAGCTTAGGGTTTTAGGGTCTTAGGGTTTAGAGTCTTAGGGCTTAGGCTTTTTAGGGGAGTGCTAGGGGGTAAGGGTTTGAGGTTCTCCTGTAGAATCATGTTTCGGGGGCGTGCCCTTCATGAAATGTTTGGCGCAGAAACATCGGTGCATGTGTTGTCTTAGTCTCTCTGGTTCTTAGTGAATGGGGGAATGGATCCCTATGATGGTCCCTTATAGTAGTCCCAATAACCCATTCCCCCATTCCCTACTAAGAACCAGAGAGTAGTGGCTTTTTTCGACAACCAGCACCTCTCCGACTGAGGCACTACGGGTATTTTCTGCTGTTCATATCTAGGATCTAGGGTTTAGGGCCTAGGATCCAGGGTTCCCTAAACCCTAAACCCTAAACCCTTCAACGCTAAACCCTAAAGCCCTAAACCCTAAAACCCTAAAACCCTGAAATCCTAAAGCCCTAAACCCTAAACCCTAAACCCTAAAACCCTAAAACCCTAAAACCCTAAAACCCTAAACCCTAAACGGCATGATATTGAAGACCGGCGGTCTTAGGGATGCTGCCGAGGATCAAGGCGGTGTTGATGCAGGGAAAGGCCAGTGTGACAACGGAACTCTCCTGGGCTGGTCTTCTCTCTGGTTCTTAGTAGGGAATGGGGGAATGGGTTATTGGGACTACTATAAGGGACTATCATAGGGATCCATTCCCCCATTCCCTACTAAGAACCAGAGAGTCTTAGGGTCTTAGGATTTAGGGCCTGGGGTTTAGGGTTCGGGTTTAGGGTTTAGGGCCGTTTAGGGCCCTAGGGTTCAGGGTAAGTTTACGGCGTAGGGCAGCCAATGCAGCTGATTCATAAACCAACGAGGGGCTGCCATAGGGATCCCAACATGAAGGCCTTTACAGAAGGGGCTTTGTTCATATTTGTTGTTCCTTCTCAAGGCTAGACGATACTTAAAAATCGAAAAACAACGAAAATGACCCTAAACCCTAAACCCTAAACCCCTACATCCTAAACCCTAAGAACGGCCGAGACTCGGGGTGCAGCTTCACTAGCCTTCGATGTGTCAAGTAGGCGATGCTCAGCGGTATCTGCAGGAGGACGCAAATCCTGGGCTGAGATTCCAGCTTGCCGGGGCTACTTTTAGGGTTTAGGGTCTAGGGCCTAGGGTTTAGGGTTTAGGGCCTTTGCACTTCGGTAGCTACAAGTTGGGATGCAAACATGGAAACTCCTTTTTCGGTTGGTCATGAAAACTGTTGGAACAAGCCGACTTCGGGCATGTACATACCCTCGTACCCTCAAGCAAGGGAAAATAGCAACATTACCCTAAACCCTAAACCCTAAACCCTCAAGCAAGGGAAAATAGCAACATCCGCTGTCTAAGGCCCAAGGAGAGCAGGTACCCAGAGAGCCCAACAACCCTTAAGTAAGGAATACACCTTAAATCATCATATTAGGGACCCTATAATTTAAGGTATATTCCTTTTCTTAAGGGGTATTGGGCTCTCTGTGTAGAAGGGTCGGAATAAATTCCTTAGGGCTCCCTCTTATAAGTATTTGAGAAAGGCAGCAAACGGCGCCCTTATATACCCCTTATGTAGTCTCATAAACCCCCTATATAGCCCCAAGGGCCCCTTCAAGGGTCTTTCCTTTGGTCCCTTGACTGCAGCAAAGGGCTCCGAAAACTTTTGTTCCCTCCTGGCCTTCCTCGTTTCCTTTAGCAACGGTTTAGGGTTTAGCGTTTGGGGTTTTAGGGTTTAGGGTTTAGGGTTTTGGAGTTTAGGGTTTAGGGTTTAGGGTTTAAAGCGAAGTGCTCGGCCATCAACTTTAGTGTGAAAGGGCTCCTAAATCGCAAAACTCGAAGCAGAAGGCGCGCATGAAGGTGGGTAGGATTTTGGATTCCCTACATGAGGAGCTTAATCTAACATGATTGCCCGACCGAATAAGGGCCTTAATAATTAGAATAGGTTTTGGGGTATATTATACTCTATCTATCTATCTATCTATCTATCTATATATATTTATATATAGATAGGAACCCCCAAGTGTGGAAAACCTTGATTGCCTTATGTCGATTCCTTTGAACATTTTGGCTGTAGCATGAATACGTCGTCCTGCGTTGTAAAGCTTTCATGTTAGCCATGATCGGCAGAAGCCAGCATAAGCTTTGGAGCTTTGGACTTTTCTCTGTTACCGGAAAATAAGCCATGCACTCGTCCTTGTGAAGACCAACCCGGCAGAGCGGTCCGCTACCCCTGTATGTCTGCAGATGAGAAATTCTTTGGGCCCTCACAGTACCTTGATCCCACCTTTGGAGCCCTTGGACAAAACTGGGTCTAGGGTTTAGGACGAAGACACTAGGGTTTAGGGTTTAGGGCTTAGGGTTTAGGGTTTAGGACGAAGACAGCTAAACCAAGGAGCAGCAAAGCATTGGCCTGCAGGTAGCCCCACGTTGAAAGGCCTTGCATGATGCCCACGCCCACGAGGCTTAGCAGGAAGAGCCACAGGGGCCCCACAGCCTCTGCCAAGACCTGCAACAAGAGAGCTTTTGGAGGCTAAGGCCTACCTGTAACCCAGATACCCACTTCTTCTTATGCGGAGATGGGAGGGTTTCTTAAACCTTAAACCCCTAAACCCTAAACCCTAAACCCTGAACCCTAAACCCTAAAACCCTAAAACCCTAAACTCCTAAACCCCTAATGGGGAATCGCGGTTTATGGATGAGATCTGCAGAAGCAGAAGATCGCGGCTGAGAGACGCAGCAGCAGGCCATGGACAGAGTGGACATGCCCGGTATTGCCTGAAGGTTTGGGGTTTTAGGGTTTAGGGTTCAGGGTTTAGGCTTTAGGGTTTAGAGATTTAGGGTTCATGGTTTTAGGGTTTAGGGCATTTCGGGGCTCAGGGCTGTAGGCGTGAGCTATATCGCTTGAACAAGCAGAATTAGGGCCAGGTCTCAGATCGATAAACGTTTTGGGCCATCGCAGGCTTAGGATTCAGAGTTCAGTTAAAGGAAACTACAGGCGGGGAGTTTAGGGTATATAGGGCTTCTACAGGGCTTCTATAAGGTATATAGACCTTCTATAAGGCTCCTATAACGGTACCTACCCACGTGAAAATGGCCTAGGTTCAGGGTTTAGGGAAGCTCTCGCACCAACCCCACTGGACCACCCCGAATCTGCAAAATCCTAGCCAAAAGGGACACCTTGCATCCGCAAAAGCATAAACCTGTCAGCCCTAAACCCTAAACCCCTAAACCCTAGACCCCGAAACCCCTAAACCTCCAAACCCTAAAGCCTAACCCCCAAAACCCTAAACCCTAAAGCCTAAACCCCCAAACCCCTAAACCCCTAAACCCTACACCCTAAACCCCTAAACCCCAAACCTCAAACGCCCCCAAAGACAGGACAGCCTCAACAACAACCCTAACGCCCAGATCCAACAAGCCCGCTTGTCCCGAACTGTCAAACCTCAAGTCCCGACCCCGCCAAACCTCTAAACCCTAACGCCGAAACCCTGAAAGCCTAAACCCCTGAAGCCTAACCCTAAAAGACTAAACCCCTAAAGCCTAAACCCTAAAGCCTAATCCCTAAACCCAGAGCCCTAAAGCCTAAAGCCTAAACCCTAAAGCCTAAACCCTAAAAGCCCAAACCCTAAACCCTAAACCCTAAAGCCTCAACCCTAAAGCCTAAAGCCCAAAGCCTAAAGCCTAAACCCTAAAGCCTAAACCCTAAAGCCCAAGCCCTAAAGCCTAAACCCCAAAGCCTAAACCCGAAACCCTAAAGCCCAAAGCCTAAACCCTAAGCCCTAAACCGAAGCCTCCAGGTTGGTAAAAAACCTGGTAAGCAACGCCAGCCCGCAGACGACGAGCAGTTGATGAGTGGTCCTGATCTGGGCTTTGAAGTAACCACGGTTTTGGGGTTTAGGGTTTAGGGTTCAGGGTTTAGGGTTTAGGGTTCAGCAGCTCCGGATCGAGCAGTTTTATAGTAGAGTTGCATTCACGATTCAGTCATAATACCCACCCACCCATAGAATCCCATAACATTGGACACATAA